CCCATTCACTGCAGAGCATTCATTGGTGAGCAAGTTATGGAATGCTACATTTCTCCAAATCTGTTCCCAATTGCATTTATTATTTTGCAAAACTTAATTTTGGGTCTTTCTCTCCTGTAATTAATGTAAAGCTTCACTCCGCACCAATAAGCGTGTGGAAGTATCTACCAGTATTTGACACATTTCTACCATTGCACAATACATACTGTCAAGCCGCCCAGCCCTTCTCTCACCCACACTATATCACTTAAGGTGTCAAATTCACTACATTTATTGTGCGAGTCACTCCTGATAAAAATTTCTGTGGAAAATTAGGCATATCCATGTCAAGCCTGTCAAAGATGATGCATCTGCCTAGAGTTTTACACTTCAACACAACTTGAAACAAATGATCTCCAGAAAAACCCACAAACTCAAGTTGGCGTCAGTAAACCGTGGGTGAAAGAGGGATATTTTCATCTCAGTTTGTTTTTATGAAGTGTGAATGGATGCTACTAAACTACTGAACATACTGCTAAACATCATATTTCTTATATCTTCACCTATAAGAATTTATTTCTCTCATCCGTTCCTTTCATTAAGTCCATCACACCGAGTGAACGTTTAAACAAAAAAGCTTCAATACCAGATCATTTTCAATCTTTCAACACTGAAAAGTGAGATATTGCCATATAAACTGGGTCATTTCAGCAACCCAGTTTTTAGTGTCATGTCGGGAAAAGAACAAAGACGATGTTTTCAAAGGAAGATGTAAAATTCTTTAGCTCTTGGATAAAAAGATGACCTGGTTTCCTGCTGTCAGCGTTCTTGTACGCATGTTCTTCTGAGTCAACCAACATATAAATGGATGCTTATGTGAATCACAAAGGCAAATGCCAGATTTGCTTTTGCTGATAAATGATGTTGTGTCAGAAGAACTAAATACAATATTCTGATTAAGTAGGTTGAACCAGCCTAATTGAGTTGCATCAGTTTCTTATTATGATCATCAAACTGATGGAGCAACTAAAAAAGGATATCATTCCAGAACCAATAAAACCAGGTGATGTACATCCAGAACTTAGTGGCCAGATAGATGCCCAGAGGAAGAGCACTATGCATGGAGTGATCGAAGAAAGACCTAGAAGCAGAGATCAAATATTAGCGATCATGCTTTGCATTCACATCAGAATGCATTAAAAGGCTGAGCAGCACCACAGATGGGTAATACGGCGTCATACTTGGACAGAAACTGCACGACGAGCCACATCGCTGCATACATCACACCCTTGATGAGCCAGGAGTCAATGTCCAGATCGGCGATAAATCCCACCAGCCAGATCACCAGGAACGGAGTTCCCAACATCACCTTCTGCCTGAACTCCTGCAGACGGACAGAGAAACGTCTGAGTGCATGCAATACATTTTGATTTCTCCTTAATGGTAATTGATCGTTGCTCTACCTTGTCCATTTTGAGCCGTTTCAGATATGAGGGACTGTCGTAACCTTTGGCTTGTCTGGCCTCCTGCAGATGATTTATCATCCACACATTTTTCCTCTGTTTGGCCAAATCCAGTGGCGTCTCCCCCTGCAAGCAACAAATATTATTAGATGTCATGTACACCAGTGTGGTTATCATTAATTAAATCTATAACTATTATACATTTATCT